CCCGCTGAAAGTGTCAAGAAACACTTGGTTGCAAAAGAAAATAATGGGCTTTCTTTAAATATAGCCGTTTGCTTCGAAACCAGCACCCCCGCGGCAGGGAAACCGGCATGGCCTCGCCATGCCTGTCTGCAAGAGGGGTTCATCCCCCCGCTCCAGCCCAAAGCTCCCCAACGGCTGAGCAGAGGTAGCACCTCTCCCGGCCCGCTCGGGCTTTGTCCCGAGAGCCTGCTACCGCTTTTGTTCAGCTCCCTGGTCCTTTCTAGCCAAAAAGAGACCCTGCAAAGCTATCAGCCGTGCAGTGATACGAAACATCCCTTTCAATAGCGAAGATGGGCTTTACAGCGCAAGGTGTCCGATTGTGGCGCGCGATGACCTTAGCCCAAGCGCACCCCTTAATCCACCCCCACGGGTATTTCATAGGAGAGGAGTAACCCCAAGCTGCTCATTGAGATTCGGCACACACGGACTTGGGGGCAATATTTAGAGGGTGTCAGGCAGGGTCGTGTGACTGTACCACGCGGGCTGCAAGGGAGCAGGCTTGAATTCCACCCGCTCAGCCTGATTTCAAACTGTCCAAACCTCGTTTCATGACAGAGCATCTTATGAGAAGATTAAACCCCATAATGCTAGGCAGGAAGATTCTTTATCTAGATCTCTGTTTGCAAAAAGTATGATCCCGGAGACTGGAATGCAAAGAAGAGTTCCCCCAAGGCCTGAATTATTGTCACCAGGACAGAGGAGGGAGAGGCAGGGGTGGTAAAAGGGACATTGATAATGCGCTACAGCAAGTATTTAGAGCAAGCTTCTACATTTAAAATTCAAATACAGATCTTGAGTGCCTTGGAAAAGTGGCTCTGCTGTGCAAATAGTGCTTGGAAGGTCCTGGGTTTTTTGGAGAGTATGTGTGTGAATTGGCACATAGGGTTTCTGCACCTGAACAAATAGGGAGGGGGAGAAAAGGGGGGGAAGAAGCTGGGAAAAAAATGGAAGTGTCCTCTCTTCCAAGAGTGTCTGCATTTATTACATGAATCAGAATGACAATGCTGATCCTTTATTGGATTTTAATTAGAGAACCCAAACAAGCACTGCTCAAAGAAGCAGATTTTCACACCTCTGCCAATTCACTGGCATGTTTGTAGAGCTGCTACACTACTAGATCTATTCATCAAGTCCCTGAATATGCAAACAAAGCTCTAGCCAGACCTTTACCGCCGGCTTGTAGGAAGGTGTAGTTTGCTAGCGGAGGGCTCCACATAAAGCACATAGCTTGTTTGTTGCCATGTCCTCCCTGAAGAGGCCTTGGAGATCTTGCTGCTTCATTTCTGAAGGAGAAGTGATAAAGTCATTAGCAAATCAATAAACGGACTAATTTTCACCCTTCCTGTCCTTCGTGAGAAAGTCATTAGGAGACATTCCAAGGATTTATTTAAATCATAAGAGCTTCAGTACCAGCCACAGAGGCAAAATATAAAATCTCCCTGCCTTTAGGAGATAAATCACCAGGACGCTGAACTAGCATAGGGAGTAACTAAGAAAAACCAGGGGAAGGCAAGGGAGGGATGAGGAATGTCAACAGCTGTAGCAAAGGCACTTGCTACCGTGACATACCGTGGGCTACTACCCAATAGGTAGAAAATCAGAGCTTTTAGGGACACTGCAGAGTCCCTTGGTTAAGTCAAAGACCAGCCTGGAACAGGGCAGATGTCCTCTCCCACCACCCCGCACATGGCTGAGCTTCCAGAAAGGGATTTGCAAGGAAGACTTAAAGTCTCATTGCTATTACTGCTTTCTTTAAACCTGCGATTGTTCCTCTCAGTAGCACTGGAAAGCAGCAGCAGCTGGCGACAGCATTTAGTATCTAAACTCTGAGTAACTCCAAGAGCTGGAGGAGGTGAAGGCGGGATGTGCTTGGGTCTGGCACAGGCGTGGGGCTGCATGGGGACCACACACCCTGGGACAGGGAACAGCATCCTCCTTCCAGTGGCGTGGGAGAGGCGAGGGAGATGCTTTTTTTTTGGAAAGAGGAGTGAACTGGAGTGCTGGGGATGCCAGGCAGTGGTGTTACGGAGGGTGATGTGTGCCCCAGCAGCCACCATGCCAAGCAGGAGGGCAGCGGGCAGCGTGGGGTGATGCACAGGCCGATGGAGGGGGGCTTGGGCAATCCGGGCTGTTGCTTTCCAGTGGGGCGATGGGCAAATTCATGTGCTCCTTGGGGCAAAGCCTCCTTCTGCTCTCTGCTGTTTGCTTCCCTAGATGGGCTCCTTGAGTAAGAGCTGCGTGGGGACCTCGAGTATTGCGAGCACGGACACTCGCCTAGGGGAGAACCCTTATGCCAGCAAAACCGCCTGGCTTTGAAAGCCTGCGAGTTATCTGGCATCAGGTGTCAGTGCAGGGCAAACAGTAGCCAAGTGGGAAGCTCTTCCAGAAGAGATTTGTTCTGGAACAGCTTTCTCAGCTGAAATGTTTTGGCCCATTTCCTTAATGAGAAAAACCACCCTTGTAACTCCTAACACAGAGGGAGATGCACCGGCTCAAATCTGGCAGGAAGGACACTCTCATTTGACCCGCTGAGTGCAAACGGGGCATGTTCATAGATGAGGATGGAGGAATTTCAGAGGGGAACGAGGTTGCATCCTGCACCCGTGCCTCTCGGGCAGGTTGGGGTGGCTGGGGAAGCAGCATGTCCCCTCGTGTCCCCATGCCCCGGCCTGGTGGGTGCCCCCTCTAACCTCGCTGTTCCTCTCTCCTTGCACAGAAAACTCGGTGGCAGCCAAATCGGGAGGCTGCTTCCCTGGCTCAGCCACGGTGCACCTGGAGCAAGGCGGCACCAAGCTGGTGAAGGACCTGAGCCCTGGGGACAGGGTGCTGGCAGCCGACGCGGAGGGCCGGCTGCTCTACAGCGACTTCCTCACCTTCCTGGACCGGGAGGATGGCTCCCACAAGCTCTTCTACGTCATCGAGACGCGGCAGCCCCGGGCCCGGCTGTTGCTGACGGCCGCCCACCTCCTCTTCGTGGCCCCCCAGCACAACCAGTCTCAGGAGGGGACCCCCAGCAGCCAGGCGCTCTTCGCCCGCCGCGTC